AACATCTATAACAACGCATATTTTTCAGTTGCGATGTTGTTGAACTTAACGAGGAACGTTTATAAAAATATTTTATATTAATACATTGTGATCCCCGTTAATTATGCCTGTTATATTTTAAAATATTTATGAGACCTTAACCCCGGGCTACCAGTTCACTACCGACATAGGTCAGCTACGACTCTACAAGTCCCGCAGCTATAAAACTGAAGCATCATTTAAACGACGGGAGAGGAAGGGGTGGGGGAAGGCAGACTGTAAAAACCGCAGAGCCACCCCCGGGGACGGCCAGCGGGAGATAGTGTCAACAGTAGGCCATTGTAGGTCTTATCTAGGGACACTCTTTCCCCAGTAGAGGCTGTTAAATATTTGCCCGCCCTAGGGTAGAGATCCAGGCTAAGGGAATAGTCCACGATCAGAGGAGCCGAAATCCCAGAGCAATTTACAAGGAGGATTAGCATATTGGGGTATCGGGATGAGGAAAAAAGATGTTAATATAAATTCCGTTAACACCAATACAGCTAGAATTCAGGTAGAAAAATTTGCTTATATAGTTTGAAAATATATAAATTGAATGCGGGGAGATCGGTCGGACTAATGGGAGTGCAAAATACAGCTTGCTCGGTAACTGATAAACCGTTGATTACAAGTCCAAATCCCGGTGTCGAAGGGCTTTTAACTGTTGCATTAATCCCCCAACCTCTCCGCGGATCTGGGAAAAGGTGAGAAAGAGGTAAAGAAAAAAAAATACTGGAAAATTTATTACACAACTGCTTTAATTTAACTTAGCTATAAATAAAATATAAAGTATCGTAAGAAAATTTGAATCTGTTTTCACAAAAATTTATGTTTTAAGGTCTATTTCTTTCCTTCCCCATGCCTGTCATGTCATTATTTCATGTACTTCCATCACATTTGCTGATTGTCAACAATAAGTTGACAGGCACAAATACATTTTTATAGAAAAAAGAATAAAATAAGATAAAAAAATAAAATAAAAAATAAGATCCAGTGAGTCCAAATAACTACTTGCCACAGAATTATATGTGTGAGTGTGAACAACAGCCTAGTTCAAAATGGAAAAAATCATGCGCTGCTGAAATCACTTGATTAAAGTTTTTTTTTTTTAACTTTCTTTATTGAATATTAATACATTCTGCCACATTGAAGGGCATTAATATTAAGGCTACTCGATTCATTCACAAAATATGTACATACAATTAATATCAAATTAACCAGACGTACAAAAAAAAAAAAAAAAAAAAAAATGAAATAATAGATAAAAGCTAGATGAAATTAAAGTAAATAAATCTCATTCACACCTATGTACAATATTTACATTCACCAAGGGGACTCTGAGTCATGCCTTATCCCCCGATGTGGTAGCCAAGGCAGGACTCCAGGAGATCCCAGTGCTTCTTTCTCAGCCGCGTCACTGTTATAACTTGATTAAAGTAGGAATATTTCACGGACGTTATCACAGTTATTTCGCTACAAATTAATAACCCGAAATGAACTTTATATAAACAATGTCTCACTTTTTTTCTTACAATTATTATTGTTATCATTATAATTAAATGATGTTTAATATCATCTAGTTATTATTGTCATTAAATATATACTCTGATATATATTAGCCCCTTTAAATCAAATTACGGACATCCGCATGAATCTTAAATGATAAGCTTCATCTCATCGTAGCCTTTAAATATTTTATTTACGAAAACTCTTGGAATTGGGGCGTTTTCAATCTAGAGATCGGCAAACATTCTTTATTTAATTACTTACTAACTCGTAAATACCCATTTCCTTTCCACTTGGATTGTAAAAGTCACCACAGAATCTAGAAAAAGATCTGTTCTACAAGTCTACAAAGAAATGCAGCCGTTTGTCCTATAATATCTCGTTATTTTGACATTTTGGGAGTGTAGATCACACCAAACTGCTCAATATTTTTTAAGGCCACATCTTATTTCACAAATAATTGAAGAATAGCTATTTTAGTTGAAATATATTTTTTTTAAATTTCTTTATTGATTTTTACTACGTTTTTTTACAATAAGGAACACCAATAATAGTTATACAGGAGTTAATCCACATTACAATTATAATAAATGAAAATAAATTTAATGGAATAACAAAAAATTAATAACACTAAACATAGATAAATATATATATAAACAATAAAACTTTGATTTCAATTGAATAAAAAAAATCAAAACAAAAATAAAGCGGAACATAAGGAAGGGTATTTTAAGTAGTAGTTGCTTATTCTAACATTTTTTAGTAATTATTTAAGTTTAACAATTATCACAAGTGTTAAATCCTATAGTGTTAGTGAATACATTCAAAATAATATTATTGTGGATTGAAAATTTTTAATAGAAGGTACCTAATTTTAATGGAAACACTTTTACATCTTCAAATTTTCAAGCTTAAAAATGAATTGTCAATATATTATCATTTTTAATTGTTTCTCCTTCTTTCGCATCATCAAAGTGTAACATCAATTCATTTTATTTTAATTTTTTTTATTTTTATTTTTTTAATGATCGATACTTTGCTAGATGCACAGCAGGTGTTAAACTCTCAGGAGAGTTATCAGATTTGATTATTTGATTCACATGGTTGATTACACGATATTTTTTACTCATTACTTCAAAATAGTGATAATCAACAGCTTCGCTCTTGATTAATATTTGGTAGCTTTGATACAATAAGAGGGTTCTTTCAAGTAGGGTGGAAAAAAGTAACTCGCCCTGATCAAAGCTTTATTAAATCAAAATATCATAAGCCTTACGTGTCACTAGAGTTACTTTAGCATAGTAAAGCCGAAGTATAACTTATAGTGCATAATTATTTTAAAGGAAATTATCATTAAGCATTGTTTGAAATCAAAGGGTTTATTAAACCTTTAGCGTCCTTATAGATCTTATTTTATAAGGAATGATAACAGCAATGCGAAATTTGCCTTATCGATTTTATTTATTAATTTGTGCACCGTTTTTACAGATAATGCTTTTTTATGTTTACATTACAAAAAAAAAGATTCAAAAAACAGATAATGGATCCACTAAGGGATAACACCTTATGATTCTTCCATGTTTTAAAAAGAATTAATCTACAACGTTTACTAGTCAATAAAACATTTTATATGCAAAAACGACTTTTCTTATCTTTAGCGGCTGTGTATTAGGTTAAGATATTGATATATAATATATTTTAAGAAAAAGAAGCACAAATTTTTATTGAAAAAAAAAACTAAAAAAATAATGAGATTGTTTACTTCGTCTTTCAATGCCCCAAGGCTTTAAATGTATCCTGACAAATGTGAAATAGCAAAAGTAACAAAAAAAAATTCTAATTTTTTATTTTAATTTTCACTGTTAGCTAAGAATAATTGTTCGTTAGGAATTGTAACTATAAAAAACGTGCCGTCAGTCATTATAGCCTCATAGGTTTAGGCAATTGATTTAATGAAAATTAACATTTTCCACGAATTCCACCATTATAACGATTTTGCTGTTCATAGTTTATTAAAATCATTCCAGGAATTTTTAAGAAATCAGTTCATGCCACATTGTTTTAAAATTAGATGCTTCGTGATGAATGTAGCGGACATTAACAGTAAGAATAACACATTAAGCACACCAAATATAGGAGATAAACACATTAAATTTAGAAAATGAAAATGTGTTTGTAGTACATTAAACATTTCAGCCAAATAGGTCATAATAACATCCTAACCGTTAATATTTCGTGCATAGCGAACAACAACAAAATAATCCAAACAACTAATATATTAGGGAAAACAGGTAAATATATTAATTCATAATTTATATGAGAATATTATTTGATAACAAATGTTTGAAATATATATACACCTATAAATTATTCTCTAACTCTCCACCATGTTTATGCCGAATAGGACGAACCCTTTTGGGAAATATAGCTATCTCGTGAAAAAGATCAATGATTCGTGAAAACTGAGTAGGAGCACATTACCGTCTCTCTTGAATTACAATCTATTTTCATTTGTATTATTTACATTTATTGGTTTTCTCAAATATTTATATTGTAATTCAAAACATAAGAGGGTGGGTTAGCTCAGTGGTAGGGCACTGATCTTCCAATGCTCATGATCTCTGGTTCGAATCTCGCCTCATGGTTGAAAAATTATTTATTCTATTTCATCAGCTTTGGAGCTACCCTGGGATCATGAGACACTCCTGGGACACACCCAGCCATTACAAAGTTGTGTACCTTTAATTAAATAATTAATTAAGGGGAAAATCTGGCTGTTGAGCGTGGTCTTAGTCAAATAATCCACTTGACACAACCATTGACTAGGAAACAGCACTTTCTCTAAATAGTACTGAACCCAAGACCATTCATGGGTTGTAATGGTACAGGTTTTTTTTTTTTTTTTTAAATTCAAAATATGAGATTCAAATGTAAGTAATGTACCTATAACAATCAGACGACATTTTTTATTTTTTATTTTCAAAGTGAAACAATTCAATACCTATTAGTCATTAAAAACGTTTTCAAACCAGATTTTATACGAGAGTGTTAAATTACATATATAATGATCAACATTGAGTTTCTCAATGGTTATTTTAGTAAAATTATGTACAATTACAATAGCTGTAGTTACATATTACTCATTGATTTTTCCTTCAAGAACTACTTATAATGAACAAATTTATGATAAAAGTAAGACATGTTCCACAACGTTTTTTTCTTTTACTTAAAAGGAGTGAATTTACATTTCTTCAATCCGAATGTCGAAGACTTCAATTCGCTCCACAGTCTTTGACACGTGCTCCTGCAATATGATCTTGATACAAGGATCCTCTTCTTCTACCAGGACCAGTAGTTGACCAGAGACTGCTCCTCGACCTCCCACCTCCACTTTTGACGGCGGCACATCCACTTTCACTGTGGAGGGGACGCGGTATATAACCCTAGAGATCGGGACCTGCACGTTTTAGACGTCCCACTTCTGTGTGTGCCACCGTGTCTTAGTGTGTCATGTAGGACGCAGCACCTGCTACCGGCATCGTTGTTATTAATCAAGCGGATTACAATGAACAAGGTGAGTCCAGAGCGAATTATATGAGAGTTCATATGTTCAGTTTAGGCAGGGATGAGAACATGTCTTGGGAACGCAGAGATATTAAAAATATTGAAACTGCATGATATTTTACAAGTATTCATGCAAATTAAAAATAAAATTGAAATATATAAAATGAAATCTAAATATTCATAAAACATTAAGAATCTTATTATAGCTTAATAAAAATTCCGATATTCTCACCACACACAAATTATAAGCGTTAAATTAATAAAAAAAATAAAATTCATGAACTGCTTAATATTAGCCCCCGTCGAAATTATTTTTTAAATTAAAAATTAACTACTAGATTTTTGAAATATAATATATTCTCAAAATGTCATCAATTTTTTGTTGTTTTTAATTTTCTCTTAAAATAGAAGGTATTTTCCCTGTATCGAAAATCATTGGAGGGAGGTAGGGTGCATTATATATATGTTTTAGAACTCCTTGTACCATGGGTAGTTTCTGAAGAATTATGATATGCCTAACCCTCCGCATTTCCCTACTTACAGCTGCCTCCTGTGGATTGAATTTGCTAAAATTCGATGCGCAGTGTTTTATCTCGGAAGAACTATACCATAAACGATAGGTCTATTTCGTCAACATTTTGATATTTTATTATTTCCTTTTTGTTTTCAGCCAAAATTTAGTTTGTTGCACCTCTCTGTAGACCCTACAAAAAAATTAGTCGAAATTATGAGTCTAAATTAAGCTGAGATTAAAAGGTCTTTAAGGAGGTTTTAACTTTCCTCTTTCCTATTTTTTTTTTTTTTTTTTTTTACTTTCGTTTTAGTGTACTTGAAGGTTGCTGAGGTTAATTTAGTCCATTTTGAATTAAGTCCATGGGTAAAATTCTTCCGCATTTGTTCTAGATTTTAAAAAAATTACCGAAAGGCTAGAAACAGTCATTTGAAAACTTAGTTAATTGTGTACATAGCTAAACAAATTAAAATAATAAATTTTAAAAAATTGTACCAAATTTATTCTTAAATGGTAAAGAAATTCATTGGAGGGGATATACTGCAAATATTTGATGTATAAATGTTTGGAAATATTAAACGATTGTGTAATACTTGCAATATAATGTATATATATTTTAATAGAATCACCGAGGCTAGGATTATAAAACAATTAATATAAATTTTCATAATTGTTTTTCTAATAAAAATAAGGCGAAGATACGACCTCAATGATGTAGAATTAGTGCTTACGTTTTTAAAATTTATTTTTAGTAATAATGGAAATATAGTATTATAAATTTAATTTTTAATTTTAAAGAATATAATTTTCCTTTAGTTTTATATATATATATATATATAATGGTTTTGATAATAATTAGTTATGTACAAATTGGATGAGGTTCGTAAAGAGAAACTGAAATAATAAATGAAGGAAATGAATAATGAAGGAATATTAATTAAATTATCAACTTTTATTCGCGGTTGAGAAAATAAGAAATTAATATAGAATTATATCCGTACTTCATACCTGTGGACTTATATTAAGGGTAACCTATTAAAGGAAAAATTAACAGAGGAGCGAATAGCAAAAATCTTGCTATATTCTGGAAGAAGGGGGATTATGTATTTTACGTTTTTCTTTTTACAATTTTATTGTAGTTGATGAAAACACTTATTTTCGGTTAAGCTAAAAATAAATAAATTGGACTGTGTGAAGACTATTAAATAGCGAACAATCTTTTGTACACCAAAATTAAATTTTTACATAACTTATTATCAAAATAATTGAAATGAAGATTGGATAGGCGTTGATGATTTTAGGGTTTTACACCTCTAAGCCCAAAATAGCACCAACAACAACTAAAATTAAATCACATTAAGTTAAGAAAAATTATAATAAGCTGGTCTAATATATATATATATATAGATCTGGTCTAATTTATATAAAAAAAAGATACGATAGAGTTTTAGTTTAAATGCGAATAAATAAAACCTAGCCAATTATTTTTTTTAAAATAATTAATTGATATGTTTAGAGATCAATAGCTAATTTAAAAAATATCAAAAAGATAGTTTAATTTTTATAATACCTAACAATGTATTTAAAATTATATACTTGTTTATTTTAGGGCCAATGATATTTTCACTCGTTAAAAATAAACTAATAAGTTTAATTCAATTTACAAGATTAAATTATGCTTAAATTACAGATGCAGGTGAACGCAGCTGGAATCTGTTTAATATATTTTTAGGATTCTAATCTTAATAAACAATTAGATAGGTTCTTAATATATCAAATGACAAAGGCATAGTAGTTGCGTGTGGATATTGATGATATCAATTTATTTTTTTATGGAAACTAGTCAGTAATCAATATAATTTTTTTTTTTATTTGTATTTTTCTCATGGGTTCGATATTTCATTTATTAATCAAGGACGTTAGTTATTATGCCTATGCGTACATTCATGGTATTGACAAATTTAAAAAGATATAAAATAAAATATAAAGAAAATAATTTACTAAAAATCAATAAAACAAATAGGTTATAATAATAAAAAAAAACACACACACTATAAAAATAATAACAAGAAAAAATATATTGAAAGAATAATAAAAAGAAAAATACTTTGTCACACATTCATACAAAAAATAAAAATAATAATAATGATAATACTCTGTTAAATTGAACACCTAGAGATGACTGGTAGTTGCGTGTCGATGCTGACCATAACATTAAACTGAAATAAATCAATTTATTTTATTATAGAAACTAGTCTGTAATCAATATAAATTGTTTTGATTTGCATTTTTCTAATGGGATAAATATTTCATTTATTAATCATACGAAGGATACTAAAAATAAATAAAAATATTGTATTCACAACCAATGAAGTTGCAAACTTCGTCGGAATTTATCTGGTGATTTGGATTTAGTCATTTTGTCAACTTAAAGGCTCAAATACAAGCTTATAAACAAATTGAATAAATAAAATAAAAATGGAATAACTAATAAAAACAAAAACAAGAAAATAAATAGATAAAAATATTAAACAAAAAATAGATTAAGAGTATAATAAAAAGAGAAACACTTTGTCACACAGCCATACAAAAAATAATAATAATTACTTTGTTAAATTGAATTGATTGGTTTACAATAGTTCATTTGTAATTGAGGAAGACTAACATAGCTATTAACTCGTTTGTTTTTGTAATCTCGTCCTTCGTTAGTCCAATAAACAAGTCATATGTAACGTGTGTTGTCTGCTCTGATGCATTGTCACGGTTGTTTAGTTTACATTACTGGTCACGTTGCACGATCCCATCTCGGGGATGTCGTCTATCGACTCGTCTTTAGTCATCAGGTAGACTATAAGGCGTCAACTGGATCATTCCAAAAAACTAAATCACATCTATTGTTTTTTATTAAGAACCGTAGAAAAGGTAAAACGGCACACAAGATGCGCAACGTGTCTATAGTGTGGACACCCTTTGTACTTAGGCCTTTACCCTTTTATTTATTTAGGGAATGTCTCGAGACCACCGATTAACATCACACACGTGGTATACTAAGTATATCTATTATACTTTATGAGCGTTGATTGTTCTGAGGGGAGGGGTGGCCGAGCGAGCTAACACGTGTACCCAGCACCTCGCGGATCCTGGCGATCTGATAACAGAAGTTATGCATGATAAAATAGTTACGAGTTCGCGTCCCGGTTCGGATGGTTTTTTTACTCTGGCATTAGTTCCCCGTCCACCCTCCCTAGCCCGAGAAAACCCCGTAATAGTCAAAAAGGCAAGGAAGAGGAGAACAAAAAAAGTATAGTTTGTTATTTCTTAGGTATGAAGGTGTTTAGAAGGTTTTATTTTATTTTATTTGTTTATTTTTCTGTTTTATTTAATATTTTATCAGTATTATTTATTTACTTTTTATATTTATGGTTATTTCTCTATTATTTGTATATATTATATGAATGAGAACTTTTAGCCTTAATACTTATAGCCCTCCAACAGTAGCTGATTGTATTATTATTATAATTCAATAAATAAAGTTGTTATTTCTTATACACATATACCACACACACACACGCACGCACACAAACACACTCACATATTAGAATCTAAAGTAATGTAAAAAAACAAAACAATTCAGTCTATCTCAAAGTGATTCATATCGCTACTGTTAGTGCAAAAGATTATATTTAAAAATTGATTTTGTTTACTATAAAATATTCAAACTGATTATTTCATTTTGATTTATTAGTATTATTTTATATTGTATTTCCCTCTACTATTTTCCATAGTAGCTGACTATTTATTGCAGTTGAAAACTAAAAAATATCACCCTTAACACAAATAGAATAAGAATAAAAATTGTTACATACAACCCTTTCCTCTAATGCTAGCATTATAAGTTTTTATCCTACGTCCCTCAGTGACTGTATTAGACGACTAATCCGCCTGAATAGAAGCCGAATGTCATAGTTTTCCTGTTAAATATCAACTGGTAGAAATCCGTATGCACAAGCAACGAAACTGCAGACCGGCTTCATTACATAACGTTGCAATCTAATTCATTACGTGACACATGAAAACATCTGCAAACGCTATCGTCACGTATGACAGCTGGTGGACAGGCCACCGTACTCCGCACGTGCTCGGTTCCGGTTACTGTAACTGGATAGGAACCACCTCGTTATCCCAGCTAATGGTCTACTTCCTCCTATATCACGTGGTTTTTATCATTATCGCTATAGAATCGTCTCTTTTCTGAAAAAAAAAAAATGTTACTTTATACTGCCTTGGAAAAAAAGTCATCAATGAATGAGATTCTTCAGCTTAGTGATGTTTAATAAATTTGTTTAGTTAACTTCGTATAGGTAGGTCAAGTTCACAAATATATAAATTACAATATACCACGTGCTAAATACGTACAATACAAGAGCCTAGTTTGAAGAGCAATATTTTGAACTCATTAATAATATCTCGCTCGTTTCAGTAAGAATGATTGGCTTCTG